CACAGGGCTCTGGAGAGCAGGTTTTGCCTGCTGCTGAAGCAGCAATAGCAAGGTTGCAGTGGGACGGCTGCACTAGCAGCATGAGGGGGCGGAGGTGGCGATCGCGTCTGGCACGCGACTCTGGGCTTCGTACGCTAAGGCCAGCGCTCAGCCTGGGCGTCCTCTCCGTAAAGGCTCTTCAGCCCCAGCGGGGAAACGGGCTGCTTCCCCGAGGCTCGGCGGCTGACCCAAACCGGCCAAAGGGCTATTCTCTACCATCTGACGTGGTGCTCGGCGATAAAAGCTGGGGGGGAAGAAGGAGGAAGGGGGGACATTTGTGGCTATGGTGTTTGTCTTCCACTTCCCAAGCAGCCGCCGGGAGCTTTCTGGGAAGCGGCTGGACACCTGCCTGCCAATGGGAAGCAGTGAATTGGTTCCTTTTCCCACTCTGCTTGGGCGCGCAGCTTTTGCTTTCCCTATTAAAATGTCATTGCCTCCGCCTACAAGTCTCCTCACCATCCTTCCGTCTTCTCTGCATCCCATGGGAGCAGGGAGCGAGCGCTCAGCTGGGTGCGGGCTTGGCTGTTCGAGGGGGACAGCCCACAGCGGGGGAATAAGCCTCTTGCTGCCGTCAGCTGAAGAGGTTGCCTAAGCGTCAGCAGGCTGCCTGGTCTTGAACACTCAAGGCTCAAAATTGGCTGGTGTATGGTAGGGTTCTTGCTTTTCTTTTTAACATAATCTCAGTTAAATTAACTGGGTTTTTCAACTGTGTCAAACTAATGTAATTTTAGTTTCCAGTTTTTCTATTTAGCCGCTAGGAAACATTGTGCTTATTTCTCTCATGCACATCTAATGAATCCCCTTTCATGTTGCTGTATAGCATTTAATTATGATTGCTTTCTTTTCCCAAGAGGTGGTTGCTTCAATTATTGCAAAAACTGGGAGGAATTAAGGTGGTACAGGCAAACAAAACATAGTAATTTCTGTCTTTCAGGTATTTGATTTTGCAGTCTAAGTGACTTTCTTTAATTTTGCCTATTTTAGGCAGTTAGGTAATGGATAATTATAGTACAAAGAAGACTTTATATATGTGACTTCATATATGTAACTTTATATATGATCTTTCAAATATTGGTTTCATAAAAGGCTTCTGACTGGTAGGTGACAATTTTAATATATGGTTTTAAAATAGAAGTCTTGGCATTTCAACACAGCCAAATATGTGTGAGTATTGCAAGTAGGGTAGTAGTGTGGATAGTTAGGAGGAAAAATCTATAAAGTACCTGCTGCAGTTTCCATGAAATCATTATGTTTTCCTTTCAGAAAAGAAACTTTCCAGCTAGAAGTTATGGAGAATGGATAGTGTTTTGGTTTTATTTACAACATGACAAAAATGTAGGCTTCCAGTACTAAATACTCTTTTTTTTTGGGGGGGGGGGGAGTGATTACTTTAATGTATTGTCCATTATATTACAAATATAAGTAGAGAAATTATATTAAAACCAGATATTGCAATTCTGAAAAACTTTTCTCCTTACTTTTTCCCTCAGGTTGTGGTGTGTTCTGGGTTTTTTTGTTTTGTTTTTTTAAAAACAGACATTGAGGGAGTGGAGGGGTGAGTGTTTTTGTTGTATAATTAAAGTTGGCTATTGTTTGTGGGTATTTTCCCCACACGGGAGCAGATTTTGGCCCTTGCACCAGTAAGTACTTAAATTCAAACAGTATCTGTATTACGCACAGTAGAGCAGCAAATGTAAGTCTACAGCTTAAGCTCACTTTAGAACTGAGGTTGTCACATGGATCTCTGAAGTAAGTCATGGAGGGTTTTGCAAGTGCCTACTACAAAAATGGCATAGGCAGAGCTTTTGAGAATGAAGGAAGGGGAATTCTGTAAGAGAATTACAACTAGCTCCCATTATAATATTTTCTGTTACCTAAAATGTTGTTATCTCCAGTTTTTATGGTAGCTGGACTCCAAAGGAATGAATTCTTAGTAACTGTAAAGCATCTTAGATTTGTTTTGTTTCCCTTCCTCTCCATTTGAAACTGTATGTGTTTCCTGATGGCAGGCGCTGTGCACAGTTAATGGCATAGTCTTTAAATTGCTGTCACAGCTTAAAGGCTGCCTTTGCTTCCTTCTTCCTACATACCCATCAACTTTGTATGCTTGGAGATGGCTTCTTGGAGGCTGTAGAGCTAGGTGTGAAGCACCACTTTGGCTGCCCCAAGGATGAATGCTGTGGGAGGAGAGAAGATGCAGATGGAGAGCTTTGGGGCACAATCGACTCAGTATTTCATGAGGCCTTTGAGTTGTGGTCCGTGGTTTCAGTATCCCTGTAAACAGGCGTCATTAAAATACTTACTGTCAAACAAGTACTATGGGACAGTAAGAAGAGAGCACTACAGCAGGTTTCTATGCCATAGAGTTAATAGATAGGAGTAGGAGAAAGCTATTTTGCCACAGGGTATATAGGATAATGATGATACCTACTGTGTTCAGGAAGTTGTACTGAAAAACTCAGCTCAGTGCTCTTCTGCTGTCTTGGAATTTGTCGAATTTCTGCTCTATTTTGTGTTCTTGAGCAACAGGAGAAAGAAAATCAGGGTATTGCCCCACTGTTGATCGGGAATTACAGTAGGAAGGTGGACTAGAGGCTGATGCTGGTCCTTTTCCTGCCATTCCTGTCTTGTTCCAGCAGTTCCATGGTTTCCTGCTGCAGTGAGATGACAAAGGTTTCTTTAAGGCAACATGGAGCTCTTTCCTTTGTGCTCATCTGTTTTGATAAGCTACCTGAATTTTCTGAAGAATGCAATAAATTATAGGGTGAATTTATTTATTTATTTTTAATAATCTGAAACCCTCTTCAGTAGGGGAGAGGCATTTCTCTTTTCAGATGACTCTAGCTTCACTGGATTTTAGTTGCCTATTATAAAAATTGCATTAGCAGAACCTGTCAAAAAGAAGGAAAATTCTTTAGTGGGAAAGAACTGTTTTACTGGAGGGATTACTGCTAGCTGTCGTTGTAATTAATTAGTTTCTCCACTCTCCCAAAAACCACGCAGGCAGTTTTAAAGTTGCCAGTGTTTTGAAAAAATTGAAATACCAAAGTTGAAAATTAGTAAAGAAATTGGAAACTGCCAAAACCGAGACATCCTTTTGTTTTCTTTTAATTTAACTTCAAAATGTTGGTCAAAGCTGCCATTCTGTGAACAGTACTTCTTTTGTTTAAAGACAATTTCAAATTCCGTACAAAATACGAAATACAGACACTGTTTTTTGCAATTCTGCAAAGAAGCTGATGTTGGGCAGCAAAGTAGAAGCTAACAGACTTTGTCCTCTGTACCTAAGGAGGTGTGAGGAACAAAAGGAAAACAGGAGGGTCAAGTGCCAGAAGTTAAAGCTTTGTTGGCATCTCTCAAAAAATTTCTGCCTGTATCCAGTGGCCATAGATGAATAGCATATGTAGATCAATCATCTGGAGGATGTATATTAGCACTTCAGTCCTACCTGAAATTCAACTAATTGCCAAATTACATTGATTTTTTTAATACATATTTTTAACTTAGATTTTTTGCTTAGCTGTTGCTCCAGGTACATGTACAGATCATGCATATACATGGTTCAAATACATTATCAACACTGAAAGCTTAGCAAGTTGTCCACCAAGATCTCAAGTCTTGAAAAGTCTGATGATCCAGTTCTTTGGCAGCCTAAGCCAATTTAGCTGCTGGCCTCCCAGGCTTGCCCTGCTGCCTCTCTTGCCCTGTGTGCAGGCTGTGAGCTTGTCTGACCTTACACTGAACCTGTTCGGAGCGCAAAGCTGGCAGGAAGCTATGCACTTCGCCTGAGATAGTTTCTCGATGATTTAGCATGCTGAAATAGTTCAAAGCTGCTGCAAAGACACGAGTAGAAACACATGGCCATGCCTGAGGGGAACCGAATGGGGCTGTAGCTGCCAGCGTTTAGGTTAGCTCGGGATGCCCAGAATTCAAAGCTGGAGGTGGTAGGTGAGATAGAATAGGGTAACATCAAGAAGAGCTTACTGCTGTCAGGTCAGTATTGATTAAGAGGTCCACCAGCAGAAATCTGGAGATTCCCTCTTCTGCTGGAGAAAAGTATGAAAACGGTGGTTCCAGAGATGTCCTCTTAACTTCAGGGTAGAGTCCGTGGGAGTGGATTGTATAGTTTGATGCTGAGTGTGATTTTCTTTTACTTGGATAAACTACCTTTACTGA